CCTGTTTCTAGGCTGGCCAAACGATATTTTATTTTGCCGAATGCATGAAAGCGGAGCATTTGCAGCGAGAGCTCGCAGTGATGACAATCAGCTGCTCGAAAGCTGACCGTGCATGCTTCGCTCCTAAACAAACGACACACAAATTATGTGTATCCCCTGCCGCCAGATACCGTGGGCAGGGAGAAACACAGCGTTTGTACTGCCATTCGCTCGCCATAGACTCTCATTGTTTTATATATATATGAGTGCTTGTGCGGACAGACAACAGTAAATAGACAGACACATACACAGAGTGCTACTGAAGAGCAGAAGCTGGGTGGCGCCCGGCCGGATGCGCTTTTATGCTTTCTGGTGCTTACGTCACCCTGCTCGTGACGTCTCGCTGCTCCATTGGACGGATTTGACACGTGCTTCAGAGCGCGGTCACGCAAGGGCATTCCCAAAGCGAATCTCGACGCAGCTCGAGTTCCTGAAGGGGAACTAAATTTGTCATTCACATTGAAACTTTGCAGATCTTTTACATTCTCAAATAGCTATATTATACACTACGTGAAAGGCAATTTCTGAAAAAACATAATAGGTGCACTCATTTGTTATTTTCCCTCACTCACACAGCTCTGGTCACATCGGTAAATAAGAAATAATAAAACCAGGACATTTATTTTTAAAAGTAAAGATTGTCCATTTTGATTTCATGTTGTCTTTAAATTTATTTCCAGATACATAGTCTGTGTCCTGTTTGTGTCAGTGTGTGTGCTAGTGTTGTCACGGTACCAAAATGTCAGTATTCGGTACCAATACCAGTGAAAATCCATGGTTCTCTGTACCAATTTCGGTACCAAAGCAAAACACAAAAACATGCTAATTAAAAAATTTGACTATACTTTCATTTAATGCAAACTCTGTACATATTTAATGTTAAATGGCTTTTGAAAACCTTCTAGAGTTATTTAGCCAAGAATAACAACTAACTACGTTAGTTAAAAAAATAAATAAATAAATAAATGGCCGGAACTGCTTTTCTGACTGATATGACACAAACAATGTTAACCATTTGTACATTCTCTAACACACATATTTTAGATTCACAATTCATCTAAAAGCCTCTGGTGTGTAAAAATAGTAAATATCATCATGTCCTCCTGTTTTTTTACCCTAATAAAAGTTATAGGAGCATTAATTAGTTAATAAAGAAACTTCTAATGCTCATTATACTAGTGTTAGCCGCGCTTATGCTAACGATTAACTACTCTAATAACAGCATTCATTTCAATCTGATATTCAAATTAAAATATTGAATAATATTCATAACAGAAGCGGTGTTTCCCACAGACTTGCACTCTATTTGTGGCGGCATATATATGCAAATTCATTCTCTGCCAGCAGGAGGCGCTTGTAGAGCAGGAGAGATAGAGGTTTCCCTGGTAACGGCTGTAATCTATGAAGTGCTGCACTCACAAACGCTGCTCAGGCATTACAGGCCAGATGAAATTAAAATGACATCCATAATTTTCTGAAGACAGTCGGTTTCCTTCAGAAATACAGTGATATAAAAACACCCGCACCGGGTTTCGACTTTGACACATGCAGTGCTCATGTTTATTCAACGAAGTCAAAGCCTTTTGGAAAATCTATTTGAGGCGGTCGATTTTGATACCGTGGCAGGCCGCCACAAATAAATAAATGTATGGTTATATTGTGGAATATTATTACAATTTCAAATGACAGTTTTGTATTTTTATATTTTATAGTGTATCATTTATGCTTGTGATGGCAGAACTGAATTTTAGCAGCAATTACTCCAGTTTTCCGTGTCGCATGATCCTTTAGAAGTAATTCTAATATTTCATTTGCTGCTCAAGAAACATTTCTTATTATTATCGAAATTGAAAACAGGTGTGCTGCTTAATATTTTTGTGGAAACTGTGATACACTTTTTCAGGATTCTTTGATGAATAAAACGTTCAAAAGAACAGCATTTATTTGAAATGGAAGATTATATTAAATTATATTTTTGTAACATTATACTCTAAATGTCATTTTTCAGTAATGTAACGTGTCACTGCTGAATAAAAGTATTAATTTCTTTAAAAAAAAAACAAGTAAAGACAAACTTACTGACCCCATGCTTTTGAATGGTAGTACATCCAAACCAAATGCACCAGTTAGAATCTTAATCCTGTTTACATCTCTTAAATCATAGTTTCCTGTGCTGTCCATCAAAGTTCCTGTGAAGATTTACATTTTTTCAACCCCTATAACAATCCAGTTGTTTAGTGTTTGTGATTTGCTAGTAGGTGTAACTTGCTCTGTACGTTTGACATGGATAATACATCAAATAATTTAGCTTATTGAAGAGAAATGTATTATTGTTTTTCTAAGTAAGAAACAACCTAGCAACAACCCAGTACAGCTACTTGCTTACTGTCCACTGAACATTTAAGTAAGTACTTAAATTGAATTCTGAGCAACCACATAGCAATACAACAAAAACAACTCCAAACATTTTAGCAGCCACACAGCAGTATATGAAAATCATTAACACCACCCTAACATTTTGATTATCTTCTGACAGTATAAAACTGCAGTCTGCATATTCATTTCATAAATTTGGCAGCCCTGGAGAGTGTAAACATGGTGTCAGACTTCAGTGTTTGTTTAATTCAAAGCATTCATTTGAATTAGGCTTGTTATTTGGTCAGATGCAGTTAAGTGTCGTGCTCAAGGGACCGTGATGAGGCATCTCAGCTGTTCTCTTGTTCATAAGTGGCCCCTAACCTTCATGTTGTTTACTGAGAGTCAGAGCTAGTTAACGAGGAGCGGGATTATAATTGAGTCATTAACTGCACCATGAAGACGATCCCATAAAAATGTGTTCTTGTAGTGTTCTCGGCTCTCTCGAATATGCTCTTCAATAAATAAGATTTTCTTCACTAAATGTCATAAAAATTAGGAGTTGAGTTTGATTTTAGTTTACTGACTGAAACTGTTACTAACTGTAAACAGTTGTTTGTTTACAACACACTTTTTATTGTAGCAAAAAGCCAACTGTATTGTCGCACAGCTGTATTAAGTTTTATCTGTATATATCGCACAGCTGTATAAAGCTTTATCTGTATGTATACAGTGTGCTCACATAAAGCAATAGAAAATGCATAGAAAATGTCATATATTTTATGTGCTAAATTCGACTATTAAGGCATAACAATATTAAAATATTATAAACATTAACATCATGATTTTCTGTAAAGCTGCTTTGAAAACGTGTATTATGTTACAATGTGTATCGTGAAACAATGAGATTCATGATAATTACAGACACTTTTACAGGAATGCATTTTAATTGTATGAAATATAATAGGCCGTATGATACACAAGCAGAAGAAATTGCTGTGTAAATCTTCTGGAAAACCAAATGCGTTTGAACAGTCTGAAATGTTGGTGGGCAAATTGTAAAACTTGCATATATGCTTATTAATATGTTCATGCATATTACTTATGTGACGTCATGCAACCCAGTCCTACCTGATTCAGTGCTTGGTCTTAGTTCACCCCAAAAAAGAACGTTTTGTCTTCAAAAAGATTTTCCCTCTGCAGGCAAGCAAAATCATGACTAAAAAATAGATAGCACAATAATAACCAAAATATGAATCAGACAAACTTGCCTGAGGTTGTCTCGAATTGTTGTGTTTTTGATTTTCAGGAACTACTTAAAGGGATAGTTCAGCCAAAAAGGAAAATTTGATGTTTATCTGCTTACCCCCAGGGCATCCAAGATGCAGGTAACTTTGTTTCTTCAGTAGAACACATATGATGATTTTTAACTCCAACCGTTGCAGTCTATCAGTCGTATAATGCATGGCAATGGTAACAAAATCTATGAGAGTAAAAAAAACATGCACAGACAAATCCAAATTAAACCCTGCAGCTCATGACGACACATTGATGTCCTAAGACACGAAACTATCAGTTTGTGCGAGAAACCGAACAGTATTTATATAATTTTTTACCTCTAATACACCACTATGTCACACTGTCTTTGGGCACGCGCATGGCATCCGGTGCGTGAGGTGTGTACGTGCTCTGGCGTAGTTTACGTTAATGGGTTGATATCCAGCTGAAGAGCAATCAACCATAACTTCAGGCGAGCAGGCTCAGAAGTTGGGAATACGTGGAAAGTCACCACTCCCGAATGAGTTCGTGTGAGAGAACGTAATCTTTTAGTTTTAAGTCGGTTTGAACAATCCGGATAAGTGCAAGGAAGTACCATTTTGATTAGCCGTCGGACCGACAATGTTTGTGCACTGTGTAACCAATGAGTGACGTATACGCGCGAGAGATCACTTCCGGCGCTTGCGTAAACTACACCAGAGCGCGTAAACACCTCACGCACGTGCGCGTGCCCAAAGACAGTTGGACATAGTGGTGTATTAGAGGTAAAATGTGATATAAATACTGTTCGATTTCTCGCACAAACCGATCGTTTCGTGTCTTAGGACATCAATGTGTCGTCACGAGCCGCAGGGTTTTATTTGGATTTGTCTGTGCATGTTTTTTTTACTCTCATAGATTTTGTTACCATTGCCATGCATTATACGACTGATAGACTGCAACGGTTAAAGTTAAAAATCATCATATGTGTTCTTCTGAATAAACAAAGTGACCTACATCTTGGATGCCCTGGGGGTAAGCAGATAAACATCAGATTTTCATTTTTGGGTGAACTATCCCTTTAACCAATTTTTTCCTTATAATAGTTCACATATAAATTAAAATTCTGACATTTTCTCACCGTCATGTTGTTCCAAACCTGTTTGACTTTCTTGGTGCTGTATAATCTCCACGCCACCTCCCCCAAAACTCTTTGGTTACCAACATTCTTCAAAATATTTTATTTTGTGTTCACCAGAAAAAAGTAAGTCCTACAGGTTTGGAACAACTTGAGGGTGAGCAAATGTCTCGTTAAATTGTTTCATATTTTACATTAACAGCTGAAAAACAAATGTGACACATGGAATTGCATTTGTTATTCGTCAGAGCTTTTCCCGAGAGGAGGCGGAGCTGCGATTTCGGCAGCTGACGCGAGAGTACCAGGCACTGCAGCGAGCTTACGCACTTCTGCAGGAGACAACAGGGCCTCTGGACCCTGAGAGACACTGCAGGGTGAGGGCCCATGACGCCAACTCCACAGACGCATGTTTAACCCCACCAACACTGGACATTCTGAAGGATCCTTTTCTTACCACTATTTGTTTGTTTTTGATCTGAATCAAATTGCACCAATGTTTAAATACGAAATGAATTCCAAGACCTTTTCAGAATCTCCTTTGCCCACACTGAAATACCACTCATCTGTTGATCACAGCCAGCATTGTAGCAAGCATGGCCGAAAATTCCTGCCTCAAAAAAAAAAACAAAACTCAAACATTTGTCTTTTGAAATTCAAAAGAAGCCAATATAGACTGTTTATGCGTACATATGCCCTAGGCTGGCTCTTTGATTGGCTCTGTGCTCTGTCCATCAGACAAGGGAGCAGCTGCAGACGGAGCTGATTGGCTGTCAGGCACGGATTGCCGACCTGGAGCGGAGCTTGGCAGAGAAGGGGCAGGTAAATAAGAAAGAGGGCGGGGAGAAGACACCCCTGACTCCAGTCACATTGGCTTTGCTGCTTGTCTTTCTGACAGCCATGCTTGTGTGCTGGCACTACACAGAGAGGATATGGCACCAAATCATGTGAATTCCCCCATAGTATCAGTCATACTTTACATACTTTTTGTTATTTCTGTACATTTCCTTTGCTTGACCAATGCTTTTTACTTTGCTTTTTCCAATGTATATTTAATCAAATCAATCAGCACAGATAATTATGGCGTAATCATTTCATATTCATGCTATTTGTGCCCTGCCGTCTCCCCTGTATACTATAATCTTGTTTTCACAGCCTGTCTTAACACTAGATTTGAGAATTGTACTACATCCAGTTCACTGACCAAAAATTGGGGGTGTACTAGGGCACAAATATATTGCTGGTCTTTCGTTTCGGTCTTACTCGGAATGGAATACTAGCTTACTGCCTACTGTTTTTTAAAGGGTCATAAAACCCCCTATAAAGTGCATTAGTGCGCACCCACTTTTTCAGTGGCGTTGGTTCCAGAAGTATTTTTCCCATTAATTTTTGCATAGGGATTTTTTAAAAAGTCTTCATTAAAGCATTATAAACCATGAACCAAGCCAACCAGCTATGAGGTGTATCACTACAGTACATTACAAAAGTATGTTAAAATCGGACAAAAAGAGAAATGGATGAGACTGTAACTGCTTTAAAAAGAAAAATTTACACATTAATCATATTATACATACTGGTAAAAAATGTATAGCCTGAATGCACTGTAAGTAGCTTTGGATAAAAGCATCTGCTAAATGCATAAAAAAATATAAAATAATCCTATATGCTGTATGTATATATATATATATATATATATAGAGAGAGAGAGAGAGAGAGAGAGAGAGAGAGAGAGAGAGAGAGAGATAGATAGAGAGAGAGAGATAGATAGATAGATAGATAGATAGATTTACAAATACATAAAGTATTTGGAGTGTTTGGAGATTTAATTATGTCATTTGCATGTTTCATGGGGTGCGATTTTCCATACAGCATCATGGGTAATGTAGTTTCTCACCACAAATTCTGCTGTCAAACATTATTCTTTTAAAAACATGTTGAAATAATGTGGCATGTGGCTTCAACAAGCATATACCATCGATTAACAACCTCAGAGCTCACAACAGGTCTGTCTTTAAGGTTTGCAAGTCATTAAAAATAATTTTCCCTAGGGAGACATTTTGTTTTCACTTCTGGAACTTTCACTTTCACTTCTTTGCACTCTATTTCAACACGCGCTAGTTCTCTCCACAGTTCTGAAAAATGGTGCAAAACTGGGTGTGGTAAGCTACAGATTAGAGAAAAGCTTAACCATTTTCTCCTATAATTAAAAAATTTACGGATGCTAACGTTGTCTTTTGTGAAGTGCAACACAAACAACTCTTGTTAAAATCTCAGAAAATGTAGTTTAGTGTTTCATGACCCTTTAAATAGTATGTGAAACAGGACTGTGAATTATTCAACATTTGCTAAATGTTTCAAGCAGTAGTGTGCAACAATGTTCATCATGACCTCATAATGTTAAACGTTTAATTAGGTGAATGCTGACCATCTATTATTTTAGAAATAAAAATGTAGTATTTTTACTCCAATTTGTGTAAAGAGGAGTCTGAAATTTGTTTTCAGTATGAAAGTATGAAATTTCCATACTGTGCATAGTATACATACTGCAGAATTAGTAAGAGTATGGTACTATGCTATTCCGAATGTAGCTATTTTTGGCTTAATGATCAGTTGGTTCACAGTGCATGTTTGTCATTGGTCAGTCTGCTCTTGCATGTGTTTCCTTTCTATTCTCTGCTTGTCTCTTATTGATTGCTTGATGTTTTTTTCCCCTGTAAAATATGGAAATGGACTTACCTGCATGCAGCCTAATAAATCTCCTTTCTCCATCTTTAACTTCTCATTTTATTTATTTTTTCTCTATGCATTTCTTTGTTTATGCTGAGCTTAATGTTTAAGACTGAGTATTTGATATTTGATGTGAGATTTTTTTTTAAATGAGAGTGTGGATTGTGTGTGATTAGTATTAATAGTCAAGTCAAGTCAAGTCACTTTTATTGTCACATCACCACAGCACATGTGCCTTGGTAATAGGAGTGTTAGTTAAGTACTAGTAGTGTAATTTGTAGTGGTGTGTGTGTTTTTGTGTGGGTTTATGTTATGCAGGATTCAAAGTGGGTGGAGGAAAAGCAAAATCTTCTCAGGGTGAACCAGGAACTCAGAGAAAAGGTACAGCCTATGTCCTTAGTTTCCTATAATATACATATACTCAAACATAAACACTTAAAGGGGTCATCTCCTCTATGCCCCACCTTTCTGAAATGCGTCGATTTTTACAAAGGTCATCGGTCTGAAAAGCGAGGTGTGCTCTGATTGGCCAGCTATCCAATGCGTTGTGATTGGCCGAATACCTCAAGTGTGTGACGGAAATGTTACGCACCTACCATACTGTGATGCCTTGTCCCGGTGCGACGAGACAAAAACAATAAAACCCATTATAAACGAGGCATTTCTTGCATCCAGTGGAGACATAATTACGGATTATAATGACTTATACTGTCTTTTTACGCGTTGCGTTGCATCGCGCCGTGTAAACATAAAACCATGTCTGCATTTGTTGTCGGAGAAATGACAAACAACAAACGCTACTCTACACTGCAAAAAAAATTTGGAAGACCAAACAAAGTAGTTTCGCTTTCACAACGAAACACAGCGTCACACACGGAGGCCTTGAGTGAGCGATGTATGGTGGGCTTGAGAATGGCGCGGCCGGCGGATTCGACGAAGGAGCATCCGGAGGGCTTGCGGCAACCACATGTGACGACCCCGGGCTGGACTCCGCTTCGTCCACGGTGAAAGCCGATCCGGTGATCTACAGCGCGAAGTTGATGTATTTCCTCAGCGACCAGCACGGTTCAGCTCTAGGCATGACAAAGCAGATATCGTCCTCTTTTGGAAGGCCAAACAAAGTAGTTTCGCTTTCACAATGAAACACAGTGCCTTCACAGCATGGCGGCGGTGGCAGCAACAATACTACAACGAGAATAAAAGTTACGCCTTCTTTCTTTGCGAGAACATTTGGGCGGCATTATGCAAATCTTCCCAGAGAGTGATGTAGATATGTGGGGGCGTGTTAGAACGAGCCGTTTTAGGTAGGCATGGTTAACTCTTAACTTTTATAAAGAATATCTCTTTGGATTTGAGACTTTAGTCTTTGCAACTTTACAGATCTTCTTTATGCACCAAGAGCTTGTAACATTGTAACACTTTAAAGAGAAAGGAAAAATTTAAATCGCATCATATGATCCCTTTAACATTCTTCCGGTGTGTGTGTTTGTGTGTGTGTGTGTGGTAGATAGTATCGCTGGAGCAGTGTGAAATGCGATTACGCTCTGAAGTTCAAGACACCCTGGATCAGAATGAGCTGCTTGAATTCCGCATTCTAGAACTGGAAGTAAGAGAATCTGTTTTGCTCCCACAGCAACAAACAGGGGCGGCCAAACCCGTCTCATGTCTACAAAAGCTACATACATGAATCCATTTTACCCCTTACATACACCAAACTGGCACTGCTTTGAGTTTTTATGTGTTCATGTTGTTATAAATATTTTCATACACATTTTAAATGTTTTTTTTTCTGTTTTAAGAACTGTATATTTATATCACTATTGTTTTGTTAATTATACGTTTCTGTGGAATAAAATTTATTTGAATGAAACTCCTCACCAATCTTTTTTTTTTCTTTTTGACTACACCTCCTGCATGTATTTTTATTTTTTTATAAATGCACAAATTCACTATTTTTTTAATGGTCATGTCAATTTTTCAGTCAGCAGATCATTATTTATCCCAACACATTTGTGTGCCTATGTACTCGTTTTGTTTGCTTGTAGAATGTTATACATCTTCAATGAGATATTGAATATCTCTGTGTGATCATTGTGACATTTTTGTGAGAATGTTATTTAATTTACAGAATCCAACTTACAGCATACGGTAACTGCAGCTGCCAATTAGAAAGAACACTTTCTTAGTTCAAATTACTGCATATAATTAAGTGCATATTGTTTGTTTACAGAAATGACACAAAGTGTGTGGTTTATAAGTAATTCAGTTGAAACATCTGGTTAAGTGTGTGTGCTTAAAGGTACAGTTCACTCAAAAATCCAAATTCTGTAATCTTTTACTCACCCTTACAGTATGTTTCTCCAAACATATATGGCTTTAGTTTTTTCACAAAAGGAAGATATTCTGAATGTCAGTGGAGTCCAAACAACATTGGTTCTCACTGACTTTCATTTTATGGACAAAAAAACAAAGACATTTGTAAAAATATTTATTTATTTATTTATTTATTTATTTATTTGTTTTGTTTGTCTTTCAGCATTCTACTTTTTAAAGTATTTTTAGTCTGAGTGTTTTACACACCTTAGAACATTCTTAATATTGTACACATGGACTTTCTAATTGTAGTTAAGTCATGTGATTGGTAGTGGTTTCTATACTTATTTATACATTTTGCAGACACTTTTATCCAAAGCAATAGAGGAACATAAGCAGATTGTCACAGAGCCTACAATATTCAACAATATTCATAGTATCTGCATATATTCTGTTCCATAATATTGTTACATTGCATTAAGTGTGATATGAACTTATCTGTACACCGGGGAAAAAAACTTTAAGTCATGTGATTGGTAGTGGTTTCTATACTTATTTATACATTTTGCAGACACTTTTATCCAAAGCAATAGAGGAACATAAGCAGATTGTCACAGAGCCTACAATATTCAACAATATTCATAGTATCTGCATATATTCTGTTCCATAATGTTGTTACATTGCATTAAGTGTGATATGAACTTATCTGTACACCGGGAAAAAAAACTAAAAACTGTGACATTTACGGTGAAATACCGGCAGCTGGGGTTGCCAGAACTTCACTGTTAAAAATATGGTAGCAACTTTTAGGTTTTACAGACTTAACTTAAATTCACAATAAAAAAAACGTATTTAATTAACTGATGTAATGTTAATAAACCAGCATATTGAAGTACTAATATCTGTTTTGAACTATTGTAATACTGATAACCACCAAAAACAGGTGGTGATGAGAAAGTCACATGATGAACCAAAGCTTTTCACAAACAGCTTTATATATATATATATATATATATAAGGTGCACTGTGTCATTCACACAAACACTAAACACCACCATGGTAACACACGATACTGAAATAATGTAATAAACATTAATTTAACAACATTAGATTTAAGATAAAACCCTAATATACACAACTGATAAGAAAAAAACTAAGAAGAAACGAAAAAACATCAACTATGAAGTGTCATGCAGGGAAATTCTGGGAGTGTCAATTTACGGGATTTCACTGTAAATTATACAATGACTTTTTCTTTTTCACTTCCAAAAACCTTAATTTTAAAAGTATTTTACTGTAAAATTACATTAAATGTATTTACAGTTATTCACCGTATATAGTATGGAAACTTCACTTAATGATTACCAATTAACAGGTCTTTACTGTAGCATTTTTACAGTCTTTTACTGTTAAAATCACAATATTTTTTTACAGTGTATGCTTAAGTCTTTTATAAGCACCCTGATGTATATGAATGTCACCACTACATTTTATGTTGTTTCAAACCCATATTAGTTTCTTTATTCTGTTAAACACAGATACAGTAGTGGATGTTTGGAGAATATCCTGGCTTTTATTTTCATGCAAGTAAAAGGGAACTACCCTTGTAAAAAAGAAGCACACTTTAGCATTCTTTTAAAATATAGCAATACATTTTCATAATATACTTTAAAACAATATGCTTAAGTGTGAACTGAATATAATGTTTTTGGACACTTAAATGCGTATTGTGTTCTTTAAATCATGACAAAAGATCAGTAAAACCATTATTTACTGTAAAGCAAAATTTTAATTACATTACAAAGTGTACTTTTTAAGTGTATAGTTTGTGAAGTCTTGAAAGTGTACACTTAATTTTACACTTAAATGGTCTTTTATTTAATTTATATATCATCTGCAAGTAGTTTATATATATATATATATATACTTTTAAGATTTGAAGTACACTGCCGGTGCATATCCTTTTAACTAGAGTGGTGCTGTCATGCTTCAATAATGATAAAAAAATACATATTAAAGTACCATAAATGTGCATAGTGTCCAGTCTCCTGAAGTCACATAATAGCGTTTGTGCGATGAAAAGACCAAAATTTAATTAATATTTCACTATGCTATTTATGACTTAAGAAGACTTGGAGAATCTTTATGTGCTCCTTTTTTGTCATTTTTGCCCCCCTCGGTCACTCTTCATTTTTTTGTGTATTGTTGAACAGTTACTTCTGAAGAAAGTTTTATTTTAGGTTGAACAATCCCGAAATATTTAATTATTTAACTGTTACTCTAAAACTACAATTTCTCTCCAGATACTATTACATCCCAAAAAATGCTTTCTCTCTATATTTCACCACCAATTACTTTTTTAACCAATAGGAGAGGGAACGCCGTTCTCCTGCCTTTAACCTGCAAATCTCTGCCTCTGAAAACAACAGTATCCAGCTACACTGCCAACAAGAGGGTGTCAAGGTAAAAACTCACACACTACTGGCATATTACCATGTAATGCCAAAGTTATTAATGTTAAGGTACTTAATTAAAAACTATATAATGTACTTACTGGAGTTATGTGTGGTTGTGAGTTTAGCTCCATTGATTTATACAATATACAATACGATACACCATACTTTATACTATACAATTCATATACAATACCACAAATTGCACACTTCACACAGCTGCATATATGTACTGTATGATAACATACTGTATGTTGGCCTCATCTTCATGTGTGTTTGGTTTAGGATGTCATCATTCCTGACCTCATGAAAAAGCTTGACATTCTTGGGGATAATGGGGTATGTTTTTTGCCATTATATGTGCTCCTGTTTTATATATATATTTATATCTATATATTACTCCTGTTTATCAAAAAAGAGAGTTGAAATGAACACTTGACTTTTCATTGGCAGAACTTGCGAAACGAGGAGCAGGTGACAGTCATTCAAGCAGGCACTGTGCTGTCTTTATGTGAAAAGGTATCATGTCCTTCATTCTCTAAGTCCTTTAAGATAAGGTGCCTTATATTTTGTCAGTAGTTCTATTGTCTTGCTATGTCTTTGTGACCAGTGGCTGAAGCAGATCGACAGCACCGAGGCAGCGCTGACACAGAAAATGATTGATCTGGAGAATGAGAAGGTAAGAACATCCATTCGGTCTAGCTTGATGACACTTGATTAGAAATGTATAATTTGTGTATGCCCCTGTCTTGACCGTGTTGAACTGATGTTATCAACAGGAGCTGTTCAGTAAACAGAAAGGTTTCCTGGAAGAGGAACTAGACTACAGAAAGCAAGCTCTTGATCAGGCCCAACTGGTAGGACTTTGAGATTATGTAGCAGTGTAAACGGACACTTCTGGATACTTAGAGTATAAGTCTATACTTTTAATTAAAAGTATATAAGTATATATATAATATATAAGAAATATATATAAGTATATTTCATGTACTTATAAGTACATGAATACTTTGACGTTTATTCTCAATGTGTCAGTAATAGAAATGTTGTTGGCTTACCACAGGAGAGGCCAAATATGAAACAAAATAAGTGTTGAAATGGGCAATAGTGTTTCAGATCTAACCTTAATTAAGCTGTTAGATTACGCTTAAGGGGAAGTCGTGGCCTAATGGTTAGAGAGTCGGACTCGTAACCCACAGGTTGCGGGTTTGAGTCTCGTACCGGCAGGGATTGTAGGTGGGGGGAGTGAATGTACAGTGCTCTCTCCCACCTTCAATACCACGACTGAGGTGCTCTTGACCGAAGCACTGACTACTCCCCGGGTGACGCAGCATAAATGGCTGCCCACTGCTCTGGGTGTGTGTTCACTGCTGTGTGTGTGCACTTTGGATGGGTTAAACGCAGAGAACTAATTCCGAGTATGGGTCACCATACTTGGCCACATATCACGTCACTTCACTTCACTGTAAAATTTGGGGTTGAAAGAAGTTTTTTAAAGCATCTTACTGAACCCAGACTTTTAAACAATAGTGTCACGTTGGTGTGGAAGTTGATCACAGGAAGTGTATTTGTTAGCTCAAGTAAAAACGAATGCACTGTATATTTTTAGTGATTACAATAAGTTTACAAGATTACAATAAGAAAATATTAATTTAAAGTTGTTTTGTACAATAAGTAGAAAAGTGGCAGGGCATCAGTTTGTACCATATTTGTGGCAAGTGCCAGTTTACCAAAAGTAAATGTCAAATTCATGAAAAGATGTGAAACTGTTTAAAAATCAATTCCGCTACATAATCTGGCCAAACTCATTAGCGTTTGCCATTTAGAAAGCATTGTGTACATGTTTGTTTGTTATGTTTAGAGGGTGCAGGAGCTGGAGGCCACATTATACGCTGCCCTGCAGCAGGATCCAGACAGCCGTGTGGGGGAGAGTTTGAGTGACAGGCAGCGAGCGAAGCTGGCCGAGTCAATGGATGCAGTGCGGAGACAGATCCTGCGGCAGAGTCGCCATGCCGACACACTCGTTCTACAACAGCGCATGGAGCTCCTCCAGTCTGCGCAGCAGGTCGGGAACCGTGCATGTGATAATTACCAAAATGTCCAAAAAGTATTTGTCCAAGCTGCTCTTCCACATAATGAAAGTGAATGATTGTCCCTGGTTCACATTCACTTTCATTGTATCTTGCACTCTTTTTGTGTTTCATTCAACAATGATTTGATACTTTATCATTTGACTTACAGAGGATCAGGGAACTTGAAGATAAGATTGACTTGCAGAGAAGACAAATCAAAGAGATTGAAGAGAAGGTGTGTATGGATGTGTCCTCTCGTGTTTATCAGAGTGTTAGATCATGTTCTGGATAGATACTCTCTCTTAAATGTTCATCTTTAAATACAGTAGTTGTGGACATTTGTATTGGGCTAAAATGAATTCTTAATATATAAATGCAAATTGGGCTGTAAGACTGATTCCTCTTCTCCTCTCCTCTCTCTTGTTTGAAATTTGTGTTTATTATAATTTATAGTTTTTGTTCCTTTTCTTGTTTTTCTCACTAGCTTTTATTCTCTGGCCTTAAAACCGACACACATCATATTCTCTCTCTATATCTCCTTCTGTCTCTCCCTGTCTTTCTCAAATCAAACAGGTGCAGTATCTAGATGAGAGATACAAACTCATTTTGCCACTAGAAACTTTGGTGACACAATCATTCCTCGGATTGTTGTACAAAACAGGTTTTAAAATATTTTATGAAACATTCGTATTTCAAGAGTTCCAGAGCTACTTAATTTGGTTTTGTCCGATTAAAAATAGTGCGAACAAAAATAAATAAATGCACCCTAAATATTTGTTATAATGAGTATTTCAAAACACTTCAGCAATTGTCAGACTGCTTTTAGTTTCAGTAAATAAAGTTGTATTTTTTTCACATGTGCTCTTGAAGGTTTTATTACATTTATGGATAGCTGTAAATTTTTAAAGTTTAAATCAGATGTGAACAAGACAATGGGTGGTGCGCATTCTTTACTTGAAAGCAAGCTATTGTTTAGATCAGCCAATAGGTGGCAGGAAAGTATTAATCCATCCCTCATCCTTTTGTTGTCTGGGACGGGCAAAGGACTACAGACTGTCTCACTCACCTGACCTGAGTTCAGGTCTAGATTTACCACATGGAGATGACAAACTTTCTTAGTCCCAATCAGAGAAGGTGGCAGACCATTAAAAAAAAGGGCATGTGAGAAGACAAGGTGCAGCCAGAAAAGAATGGATGCATGTGTGAATGAAGGCAGTGAAAGAAGGAGGAGCAGAGTGTAAAAGATATCAGCAGGAGTGAGGTTGAACACCTCAGAAGGTTCTCGTACTCACTGACAAACAGGAAATAAACCCATGTGTTTACTGAGCCAGAGAGATGATCTCAGCTAAAGCCTGAACAAACTTGCCTGTCAAAAATAGAGTTGGACAGAAAAAGAGAGATTTGATTTAATCAGTGTGAGCTACATGATTAAACAGTGCAGATTAGCACTCATCTGGAAAGAGCGATGAATGAATGATGATGTATGATGGACACCTGACGCAAACCACCAAACACAAGCTGCTCCAGCTAGTGATTTACCATATTTTCAGATGCCTTAATTCAAACTGTCCTTTACACACATTCTGTCTTTCTTTCTGGGTGCCTTCTGCCAGGGCATATTTTTAGTTCAGAACAGAAGTTTGGTGGGGATGAGAGGGGAAAGATGCAGACCCCCACGCTGCTGACGCACTCTCTTAATCACCCCAACTAATTCACGCCGACCCCCTCCTCATGTCACACACTTTATATGATCCTTCCATTCATTCTTCATGTGACTGATATGCATCTGATACATCTGATGTACTTACTAATGTATAATTTATCTGATAAATAATCACTTGTGTACACTCAGTCTGATACAAAATGATTAGTGTATACTCTAGAGATTAGAGTACATATGTAACGAATCATCCACTGAAGGCGAGCATAGTGAGAACCCAAGTGCAGTTTATTTACAGAGTGATCCAAACAATAATCCGAGACACAGACTTGACTTGACTAGGCATGAACAGACTTGACTTGGCATGAACAGACTTGACGAGGCATGAACAGACTAGACTCACCGACAGCGGGTTACAACATCAATACACGACGAGGGCACAATGGGAACATGAAGCTACTTATAGGAAACAAGAGGGTCACATGACAAGAACAAACCAATGGGAAACAAGACACATGACTAAGACAACCAATCAGAACATGACACAATGAACAGGGGAACCAATGGCATGAATACATGAGGGCAAGGGAAGCATGACACAAACAGGGACCATGAACCAATTACAAAATAAAAGACATGAAAACATGAACATGAAACAAAACACCACATTACAACATACTAGTATATTCTCCATTTGATAAATATTCACTAGTGTATATTCCATCTGATGAACTCCATCTAAAGCACTCACTAGTGTGTACTCAATTTGTTAAATATTCACTAGTGTACACTCCATCTAATATATATCCAACAGTGTATAATCTAAATAATAGATAAATAATCACTTGTGTACACACAAGCTCATACAAATTGATTAGTGAGCACACCATCAGATTCAATCACTAGTGTATATTCGATAAATATTCACTAGTGCATACTTCATCCGATACATATTCAGTATTTTATACTCCATCTATTGAATAGTCACTAGTGTACACTACATCTGATGTATACTCACTATAGTGTACGTTACATCTGATGTATATTCACTAATGTACACTCCATCTGATGCACTCACTGGTGTATACTCCATCGGATGCACTCCATCTAATTCACTCACTAGTGGACACTCCATCTGATGCATATTCACTAGTGTACACTCCATCTGATGCATATTCACTAATGTGCACTCCATCTGCACTCAGTAGTGTACACTCCATCCGATACTGTTCACTAGTGTATACATCTGATGCACACTAGCTATTGCAGGTAGTGTACTGTGTTACTTCAGTATGGCCTTATTTGTCCCCAGCAACAGAATGTTATTTGTGGTTCAAACTTGATCTTTTTTTAGTCTCTCCCCACATTCTGTTCACCCCTAAATTAATAGCGCTAATGATCTTGCAGGTGGAACATTTACACTTGTGCTCTGTCTAAGGACACACAAGCACACGCACTTGTACCCTCTCAGGCATGACACACAACTGATGATGCACGTCACAGCCACGCCAACACATGTCCATGCAAACAGAACCATCAGAGAGAGCGTATAAGGAGATGATGAGATTTAGGAAACGAGAGATGAATGAATGGCCAGATCATGAATGCCTGAATGCAAGTGACTGACACACAAGACAGCAGAACAATGCCGAACAGAAAGCCTAGAACAAACAGCATTCTGTGGAAGAATAGAGCGAGTGCGTCTTCAGAGGAGAAATTTCCAGTCAAGTTATTTTGAAAGTTTGTATGCACACATATGGACATATAGGAAAGATCTATTTATGACCTCAGTTGTTACTCATAGACAGCATTGAGAGTAAATGGAGAGTTTGCTTAAGTCTCCTGTTTATCCCAAGAAAATGATCTGTTATCTCCAAAGTGTCTCTTTGTAATGGCCAGATTGTCATTTGCATTATCATACCTTTTCATATAAATATTATTTTAGTAATTGTTTTTCTCATTTAGTTTATTTCTCCTAAGAAATTTATGGGAAAACATCAGAGATAAAGTTGATTCCTAAATTAAACATCCATGACATTAAATGTGCTATGAAAGATTAACCTCTGAGCAATACACCTTCTAGGGGTTTTAGATTACTTGTATTGTTGTATTGCTGAAGTTTGTTGTCTGGTGACTTATCAGGTGAGAAATTATAAATAATAGAGAAATGACTATCAGTTTATATATTTTTGCTAGCTTGTGTTTATTAACTAAGTGGAATAGTCTCTTACATGCATACTGGCAGATAACTGAATGCTCTGTTAGGGACTTAAAAACTGTATTTTAGCCATTTTAACATTGGGGTAAGATTTAAAAATCTAATTGCCTCTCTATCACCATCTGCTCAGTTAATGCTTACACACACACACACACACACATCCCAACAGATCAAATACTGCAACAAGAAAGCGCTCAATAAAACACTTTATAATAAGGAATATTTATTTATGGTGGTTTTATTTACAAGTTGTTTTTTTAGACAAAGACAACGTTTGTGTTTGACATTTCTTTCTGTAAACTTGCTCAGAGAGAAAGAATATGTGATATCTTACACACAGAGAAAACACAGATCTCTCACCTCAAGCAGTTCCTGAGTTCTTCAGGTTGAATTAAACATTGACTTTCTGCCCTAACTTCACCTGATACTCAGGTGGCACAACTCAGATTAACTAGCACAAACCAAAGTACTTAACGGTTTTAACAAATGAAAAACATTAGCGACAGTCTTTGTTAGTCAGTTCTTCCATTAGCTATCTTTTCATCGTATCGTTTACAGTGGCCCCAAAAATATTTTGACATTTAAACCACTCCTAAAAATGTCATTGCATTAGGAAATAAAATATCAAAGCAAATGGCATCTGCTTTTAGTTAATCGCTTCAACTATGCACATTTCATTTTGAAAATCAGAATGTGTCCAAATACAATATCTCTATTGTTTTATCATTTTAAACCTAATAAACCTTTTTGTGAAATGTTCTTCTTGAAATTTGGACATTGTAGCATAAGTGCCTAAATACTTTTTGGAGCCACTGTATGTGATAGTGTATGGTTTAGTACCCAACATTCACCAAAAAACAATTAGATCTACTCTCTAGTCTATTGACAGTCTCCTGTTGGAAAAGTATGTCTAGTTTGTGTGTGTTCCTATTTACATGATGATGTGACGGTAATTTGATAACTGACGTAAGCTCATTTGTCAGCATGAGAGTTTTCCTCTCCATGTTGAAACTTTCCCTGCCATCTTTGGCATTTACCTCTAGTTTAATTTTCTACATCACTGCCTTTTTTCTCTTTGCCCCTCTACTTGTCCTGTGTTCTCTGATTTTAGAGAAGGATGTGACTTGAGGTGGTGTTGCAAAGCCTGCAGGCAGTGCATGCATGCAGTAGCTCTGTCTCTGCTGTACTGTATGAATTGCACAGTGTGTGTTGTGTTTAATTTGTTGTTGTGTGCCAGTCTTGTCACCCTTTCCTGCATGGCTGCTTCTATGCATTTTTTAGCATAAGCCCGATTGCAGGAGAAAGGTAGTGGAGCATAACAGAAGAAGAAGAGGAGGAGAAGGAAAACTCAGCTGAAGAGAAGGTGAAAAGAGAGAGTAAGTGCTGTGAGCGAGAGGAAGTACAGAAGTGAAGACGAAGAGGAAGATGGGAGAATGGGTGAGTCGTAACCTGGTGGACAGTCAAGCTCGAAACAGCGGACTGAGGCTGCATCCTCATTGCCATAGTTTGCCCAGTACTCTTCAGGCTCTAGCTTGGGTAAAGCAGCCTCCTCCACTGTGAGCTCGTACTTGGATGATGAAGATGAGGGATGTTTGACAGAGGTGAATGGAAAAGCCTTCAAGGTCTCTCTGCTCTTGTGAAAGTGGCTCTTGGATGATGAGGCCGGTTTGTTCTTGGAGAACCACCAACGGGTCTTGGTGCTGAAGGTGGTGGTTGTAGTGCCAGCCAGGGATCCTGGGTCAGGTAACGGGCAGAGGGCGAAGTCCAGCTCCCGCAGGAACCTCAGGTCCTGGCCTTTACGAGGGGCTGGTGAAGAGCATGTTAGGTCTGAGCTGGAGATCCGAGCTTTGCGGAACCACTCCCATAGCGACCTGGCTTCACAGCCGCAGGTCCAGGGGTTACCATTGAGCCTGAGAAACTGCACCAACGATGTATCCTTCAATACCTGGCCTGGAAGCTCCTGCAGAGAGTTGTTGAAGAGATAGAGGATGGTCAATCTGCCCAGGTCACGGAAGGCTCGCCGTTGGACTTGTCGGATGCGGTTGTCATGCAGCAACAGGCGGTCAAGATTCACCAGGCCGCGGAAGGCATTTTCAGACAGGACACGGATACGATTGCCATGCAGGAACAGGTGGGTGAGGTTGACCAGGTCGGAAAAGAGGCCATCTGGAAGGTGGCTCAGCTGGTTCTCCTGCAGGTAGAGGAATTGCAAGCTGTAGAGCTTGTGGAAGAGGTCAGCGGGCAGCTCGGTCAAGTGGCAGCGGTGCATGTGTAGACTCTGCAAGCGCTCCAGCCCCCTGAACGCACCCCCATCCAGCCTGCGCAGTGATGGATTGTCACTCAAATCTAGTTCCTCTAGTACACGCAGATTACTGAATGCACCTGCTTCGATCCATGTGATGTTGTTGGAGTACAGCCATAGGACCTACAGATCCAGAATGTAAAGACAAAAGTAAATCTCTGCTTACTGCAAATCTTTACACAAACAGATTCATCATGATGTTTACTTACAGATATGCTCTCACCTGTGTTTCGAAGCCAAAGGAGTCAGCTCTGAGCTCAGTGATACGGTTGTTCTGCAAGAAAACGCGCTGGGAGTCGTAGGGCACGCCGGCAGGAACAGCAGTGAAGTTCTGAGACTGACAGCTCACAGTCATGGGCATATGGTAGCATACACACAACCTGGGACATGCCTGACCGGGTGCACAGCGACATGCCAACAACCATATCACCAACCAAAGAGACAAACCACCTGTGGAGTGAGAAAGAGGTAGACTTAACATGATGTTCTTGTGCACATTTGAGAAGAAGCTGTTCCACATCTTCTTAAAGTTCTGGAGTGATGCAGGGATAAGGAAACAATTTGTCATTTATCATGGCGGATTAAATACTATATAACAGCTGCTATTTGAGATATCATTGCTGGGTTAAGTAATATCCACATTTATTCGGCTTGAAGAAAGCAGTTCTAGGAAAGACTCTCTGTCCAGTCAGAGACACCCTCTGTCCATGTCCATCCAGGACAGAACAGAACAGTGCCTAAGAGTGCATGAAACAAAAAGGCCAGATTAATTTCAGGTTTGTGAAACCGAACCCGATTCAATTACTGCAGCTCATGAATATTTAAGAGGGGACCTCACGGGGATCGGTGACTCTACACAATAACATGGCGCTTAAAGACATGAATGGTTTGAATAAACTGCACAGGACTAATGTGGAAAATTGTACGGTGTAAATGTAACTGTGTTACCTTTTTGCGTAACTGCATGCCCGTTTTTGTTAACAGTAGCTTTACAAGTTTCTCAATGTTAAGAATTGATTGATTATTCTATATTTATCCTGGTTACATCAAAGAGGTTAATTAAAAATAGTTTGTCTAGTCGCATTAGACTTATGGATTAATCAGAAGTTGCTGTATTGAGGTCAGACCAAACTGGGACTCCAAATGGAACATTTAAAAATGTAATGCTACAATGTAAACATGTACAAAAATGTGTATATATTATTTATTTTTTATTTATACATATCATGTATTTTTTATGTATTTTGTATGTTGCATATGTTATAAAATATAAATGTATCAATAAATGTATATCAAACAAAAGTAGAGATAGTTATCACTACTTTTGTTTGTTACGCATTTATTGCGACATATTTATATTTATGTTTGCAGCTTGTACAATTCAAAATATAACATTGATTTAATGTGTTTTACGTGTACATCAATACATATATAATATAAACATATAAATGTTTTAAGCACAATATAACCAAAAATGCATGTACATAATGTCTATATTACGCTTCAAATTAAATTATGCACAATCATTAAACATTAACTAATAAGTACAATAAGAAGTTGGTACTTACTCTTGAAGGTAAGAGTGTTGGAGACGCGAGCGCTCCGCGCAGCCGCACGAGTTTCCATCCCAAAATCCAAACCGAGAGCGAGTTAGCCTGAGCGCGAGCTGCTATCTGCTCTAACGGTCAGCTCTGGTGCTCGAGTCGACTGCGAGTCTGCGACTGAGGAGCGACGCGCACCCCGGGAGCGTTTATAGTCCAGCACCGGCTGCCCACGAACGCGGGACGCAACGGAATCTCTCATACGTAACGCGCGCGGGCGAGAAGCACGTTTGCGGGGGGAGGAAACCGGACTGTGGTGTCTGAGTGAGTGTATTGAGGGGGATGACTAAATAACTTTAACAGTTGTTTTACATAGATGACTGTTCTTTTCTCTAGAGTCATATTAGTAAACAGGCTAGGATACAACAACCTCATATATGAAATCTGTGTGTAGGCTACAGATAAGATTAATGGCAGAAAAACTAAATACACTTTTGAGAAGTAAGATTATAATATAAATCGATTTGGTTATTACAGATAGGCTTATTAACCTGTATTATGGAGGTATTTAAAAAAGAAAAAATCAGTCATTTGTTATCATAATATGTATCCTTAATGGATCCATTTTTATTGATTTCAGCATAAATTTGAGATGATATTTGAGTCATTATTCACATGATGGAATTATGTAATTATGAGTTTCTGACTAGTAAAAATTGTTCACATCTTTGTCAGAGTCTTACAAATTATACATTTGATTTTTCTATTTAATATAGCCTATTGTTTACAACTAGTACAACAGAACATGTACAGTATTGTGTTTTCATTTCACATCTTTTCTTGAAACCATGATGCTGGAAGCATCAACTTTTGAGAAGGCTCTTCTCCCACTTGACAGCTGTCATATAATATATATATATATATATATATTTATTTATTTATTGAACGAAAATATATTTGTGAATAAAAGTTGTGACTAAATGTCTGCTTAAACCAGCCTGATTTGCTGTTCTCAGCTGGTTAAGATGCTCTCCCAGTTGGCCAAGGTGGTGTTTAGCTGGGTGAGCATCTTAACCAGCTGAGAACAGCAAATCAGGCTGGTTTAAGCAGACATTTAGTCACAACTTTTATTCACAAATATATTTTCGTTCAATAAATAAATAAATATATATATATATATATATATTATATGACAGCTGTCAAGTGGGAGAAGAGCCTTCTCAAAAGTTGATGCTTCCAGCATCATGGTTTCAAGAAAAGATGTGATATATATATAATAGCTGTAGCTTTTCCTGTGTAGTATGACTGGGAGACAAGCTGATTTGTCTTGTGTTGCTGTATGTATACTGCTACCTACAAAGAATTGCTTTTAAGGACAATAAAGTAAAGTAAAGTAGTGGAAAGTGAGTACCGAAATGTAACAGCATCATCATCAGGTTAAAATGTAATTTTGTTTGAAAAATGAAAATGTTAAGATTTCTATTAGAGACACACTATCCTTCATATCTATCTTAAATTCATACACTAGATGGCAGAGTACATAATAGTGTAAGCACATGCAACACAGGTAAATGTCACTCCCCTGGACTCAAGAGGCGTATTAGTGACGGACTGCTGGTTTGAATCCCGCTTGGAGCAGTGCGATTAGGATTAGTCACATGCACAGTACATCAGTTTGGTCCCAATTTAAGAATTTTGTGGTCATCGACAATAAAATGACAATATAAGTGTTGCCACAGGAAATAATTGCTAAGTCTGTGGAAACAACTCTGTTCTTGTTGTTGTGAATGACAGTATTTCCTACAAGACATGAATAAAGAAATAGTTTCCAATAAGAAATAAAATATCAGTATAAGAAATTTTAATTTCCAATGGGATAAATGCCATGTTAACCCTGTAAAACCTGGCATAAAAATATTAGGCCTAGTCAAAAATAAATATAGCAGACTATTTACTGTATTTGGTCCCACTTTATATTAAGTGGCCTTAACTACTATGTGCTTACATTTAATTAATTTAAATTAATCATGTTTTTACATTGTACTTATATTTGAAAAATATCTGCATGTAATTAACTTCTGTAATTACATTTATAATTACACTGTTGACCCATCCCTTACACCTTAACCCACCCTTAAACCTACCCATACCACCAAACCTGTCCCTAACCTTACCCATATCCCACCTCAATAACAGCAAAAGTGTTTTGCAATACAATATTAACACAATAAGTACATTGTACTTATTTTATGATTTAAGTACATGGTAGTTAAGGCCACTTAATATAAAGTGGGACCCTGTATTTACATAAAATGCATATCAATATCAGTTGTCACTATATATTCCAATAATGTCTTATTAAGATTGCTTTTAGAAGATTGCGTACAACAGGTTTTTAATTTTTCAGTTTTGTGTTTCAAATAATATACAGTTATACTGTAGTAGGCTTTATAGGCTTAACATACAGTGGGTATACAAAAGAAATCACATTTTGTTGCTTTGCAGCCTGAAATGAAGACATGTACAGTTTTTGTTCTATCCAGCTGTATTTACTGTATTATTGCAACTTATAACATCCAAGTGAAAGCTATAACACCAACATGGCAGAATTTATTTAAAAAAACAGAATCACTGAGTTGGAAAGAGGATCAACCTCCTCTTAAAAATTACTTGTAAACTCAATCAGGTGTAGCTAATTCTAACAACAATCTTTTAGAATTTTAAAACACCTATAGCTCCCATTGTGATTTCTTTTAAACATCATATCCAAGAGGATTATAGAAATCAAATTTGATCCTATTAACCTGAAATTCCTTCAGAATAATTTTACTATAGGGACTCAATGGCAATGCATGTTTTTAATTTCCAAAGCCACAGTTTTATTAGACAAAATGCTGCTGCATGTGCAAACGGTTGTGCAAAAGAAGTATTAGAAATTCATATAAGCAGTTGTGTGCAAGTGTCACGTGTGTGGGCTGCACTGAGTCAGAGTTCTGTTCCCTGACCGTGACTGAGGTCAGTGCGCTCCAACTTCAGCATGATGCAGCCCATCTGTACACACACACCTGTGTACCCATGTCATGACACATGCAAACAACACATTTGTTTTTGTATCTTTCTTATTGACCTATTTTTATACTGAGCTAATGGCATTATTTATCTCCTAATCGTAGCCTCAAGTTGAATCTGTACACACACGCACACAGTCCGCTCTCCCAGAATGCGATCATGTGCGTGTGCAGATATGGACTTGTATTGTACTTTTTACAATTCTTGTACTCCTCCTACTCTTTCTCTCAGTGGACTTTATGAAATATCACATGACAAACACTGAATATCAGATACACACACAAGAACACACACTTTCATCTGTACCCACAAGCACACTCATCACTGAGAATCAAAGGTTAGGGCAGGTGACCATGGAGGACGGTACACACAGCCTGCAGAACCAAACACACATTAGTCGATCACCCCACGCCATAAGTGCCCTTTGTTCTTAGTGTGCTTTGCAGAAACAATGCAGCCGAGCCTGAGGCTACGTACTGTGCACAATAATCTTAGCCCACCAGCTAACTCATCACTGCACATTTTCAGCGCTACAGGGGGCCGTGGGGGAAGACACACACACACACACACACACACAAGACATACATACATGAGGCAAGATCAGACAGATGACCACACTCCCCCTCACCACTTGGGGCAGTGACACACTCTTTAAAGAGCAACAGACGGGTTTGAGGAGAGTGTGTACATGTTTGTGTGTGCATGTCAGTTCATATGTGTGTCCTTTGACAGTTGCCAACCTGTACTGAGCAACTCAACTCTGAATGTTTCGTTCTAATGCCATGAACATGTTTTTCAGCTTTGTACTGTACATGTGCCCCTTCTTACAGAGGTTGACAACCAGAAAATCTTAAAGGGATAGTTCACCCAAAAATGAAAATTTGATGTTTATCTGCTTACCCCCAGGGCATCCAAGATGTAGGTGACTTTGTTTGTTCAGTAGAACACATATGATGATTTTTAACCATTGCAGTCTATCAGTCTATAATGCATGGCAATAGTAACAAAATCTATGAGAGTAAAAAAAACATGCACAGACAAATCCAAATTATACCCTGCGGCTCGTGACGACATATTGATGTCCTAAGACACCAAGCGATCGGTTTGTGCCAGAAACCTAACAGTATTTATATCATATTTTACCTCTAATACACCACTATGTCCAACTGTCTTATAAAAAACAAATACAATTTTAAAAAACGAGCACAAAACGAATGTAAACGCGGCAGCCCCTCAGGACGACTGCCGCATAAAACATAATAAAACAACAACATAAATTAGTCCAGGGGTGCTTCTCAATTCTTATTTGTGCATCCTCATTTCCTTTCCTCTCGTCTTAGCCCAACCCCTTCAGGATGCGAGGGAAGGACGCAAGGAAAAGACGCGAGGATGGAGGAATTCGCTCCCTTTAGCGTCACTTCAAAGCGTCATCAGCTGCGCTAAAGAGATATGCCATTATTCACTCTCCTGTGATGTGACCCTGTTCCCCTCACACACACACACACACAACGTGTTACTCTGCGCTGCGCAAAACTCCGCATTTGAACAGTTAATAGCAAATACTTAAACTAATAACAAAACATACTTACAGTCGCTGATTCAGAAGCGCCAGATTGTCATAGCAAAGTCGGAATTGACCCTTTTTTATTTTTTTATTATTATTTTTTTTTTAGAAATAGCCTTTTTGCACAGCCAGCCTTGTACTCTTCTAGGTTAAAAAAAACTGATGTCCATAAAAGATTGCAAAGTTGCAAAGACTAAAGTCTCAAATCCAAAGAGATATTCTTTATAAAAGTTAAGAGTCAGCCACACCTACCTAAAACGCCTCGTTCTAACACGCCCCCACATATCTACATCACTATGTGGAAATATTAGCATAATGCCGCTCAAATGTGCACACAAAGAAAGAATGCATGGTTTCAGGAACAGCATTTTTTTTACCTTAAACCGCATAAACACATTTCATTACACCAAATACACAAAATAATGTTCTTTTTAGCAGCATCATATGACCCCTTTAACCATGACAA